CGAGAATATTTACATTTTTATTTCTGTATTGTTTACCTTTGCTACCTAGCACCCTATAGGCAATCTCTGCCTTGCAAAAGTGTACTGGGTCTTTAAAAAAACGTTAATCACAGCTCTATAAAGTGCTTTCACAAACGTTAATTCAAGTACAAACATATATGGCAAAATATAGTTATAAAAAAGAGATTGCGGCTTGTGAGGTTTTCTGTGCACAGTTGAGAGGAGATACGGTTAACACAGTCTGTTGTACAAATAAAGCTGGCGATGACATGCTGCGAAGATAAATGGGGAATGAGTTCATTTGAAGAAATTACAAAATTTAAACCAGTTCTTTGCATCAATCTATTATGTCTCCAGAGTTACTGGAGAAATGGTTCTTGCGGTATTCATAGATAAAAGTTGACCATGTGGTTCAGTGCACATTAAGATAAAAAGGAGAAAAATATATTGAAGCAATGGCCTCGTTAAAATATGTTACACAGCACTAAATGAAAATTAAATGGGAATGAGTCTAACAATCCCCTTTCACCAAGATTGTCTGAGCTTCATTGTAATGCACACAAGGGTATTTTATTTAGTAAAATGTGAATTCTGGTAGATTGTACAATGTTTTAATGCATTATATAAAATGCTCTAAAATTTTGTCAATTCCTGGATAGAATGTACCTTTAACTAACAGTCTGTGATCAGCATACTTAATTGCAAAGCAATACCTGCATTTGTAAATAAACATTCGGCAGTTAAAATTATATTCCATGTAAATAAAAAGTATGTTACTCAAATGCTTTACTAGATTGTTAAAGGTAGGTTATAAAGGCTGGGCCACAATTCAGAGTAGCATTTAACAGGTAAATAACATATTTGCTAGTAGTTTAATACTTTGTTCCAGGTAGATATTATAACTGAGTCTTGGAAGATTCATCAAGGATAATTTCATGAAGGAACAACGAATTACCCATTTTTACATTTTTCCCTCAACTCATCATTTCTGACGAAGCTCATTTTCATTTAAATGGCTTTGTCAATAAGCAAAACTGTTGTTTCTGGGCTACAGAAAATCCACGGATAATTAATCAGCGCCAATACCACCCTACCAAAACCACCGTCTAGTGTGGGGTAACCAAGAATGGAAGTTATCAGGCCGAAATTTAAGCGCATGGGGCATAGCGGAGACCAACTCGTTAGCGTGGCAGGTCCGCTGCACCAGAATTCCGGGAGACTGGAGAGCAGCTAAGTCGAAACGGAACACGCCTAGATCTGAGCAGTAACAGTGGCAAGAAATGCTCCCTCATGTACCAAGCGGTTGAAGTTTGGACCTATTTAAAGGGGAACAGGAGGTGAACCTTGCGGGTCTGGTCAATGTCAAGTGCAATAGGGGTTTGACGCCCCAGGGAAGGGAACCGGGGGTTGAGTCCCAATGGTTAGGTGAGCCAGAGTACCGGGGGACATGTGAACCAAGCAGTGGGAGTACCTGAAAACCAGATCCCACGACTGAGAGGCCCATTCTAGCCGCCAGAGGCCAGGGTCTACGGCAGCCAGTACCATCTACCTCCTCCCTTCCCCCATAGACCTAGTATACTAAGATAATAAATGTGAACACCTGAGGAACAGATTCCTCATAGGGTTGGGAGAATGACAGACCAGACTACGGAGGAGGGGATGGAGAAATGTTTGCAAAGAGGGAAGACGTTATGATAAGCAACCTTAAAGTGGTGATGATAAGAGGATCATGGGAGACCTTGATATGTGGCCCAGTTTACTGAGGGGCCACATGAGTTACCTAGGACCCCCCTCAATGTTAAACTCCTACAGAAAAATGTGACTCCCCTAGACAGATAATGGTGCAAGCAAAATAAGAGCCACAGCGCTGGGAGGGCTTGGTTCGGGCTTAGTTTGGTTGAACTCGACCACCTACCCCAGAAGGTTAACTTTCTACCTTCAAAATAGTTAAATGAGCGCTCCAATTGTAGTGTTCGAAAATTGTTTTTGTTCATGTTCTACATTTTTACAGTTATGTTTTATAATAGATTGTCCTCTGAACGCACGTTTCTTAACCAAGAGTCACTGTAACCTGAAAATTTCCCTAAGCCAATACCCACTGCCTTCACTAGCTAAGCAAAGAGTCAAAGGCCGGTTTACTTTAGCCTCTCTTGCTAAACTTGCGTGACACACCGCACACCCTTTCTCCATACCAGAGAATGCCGGCTCCAGAAATCACCACTACCCGAGAACACTGTAGGCATCAGACACAGCAGTCTCCCCTAACGCACAATTAACATGAATATATATACACACAATGTTAGGGGGTTGAATACCCCGCAAAAAAGGCACACTCTTCTCAGGGACCTTAGGGTTACACAAGCAGACATAATCTGCCTGCAAGAAACTCATTTCCGGGGCGTGCCTATCCGAGCTATTGAGCGGTCGCATCTTCACTGCGCTCCTGCTCCATAGGGAAATATAATAGATTTTATACCACGAAAGTGCACAAACTTTGAAGACAAACTGCAACCTGGAGGCCTCCCCCTGAGAGAGATGGGGCGAAAACATAGAAAACTTGTTCAGACAGAGGGCACAAACCACTAAGACATCCATCTGTCCTTCAACAGACCGCCATCAGAAGCCCGACCTAACATTGCGCCTAAGGAACCACGTGGCTCTAGTGACTCTGAACCGTCACAAGATGAAGAGAGAATCCAAGCACCCCATGGCAGAGTATACAAGAGGTCCGACTCAGACTCGGACAAATCCCCCTCAACTAAAGGGGACATTAAAAAGCTTCTTCGGGATCTGAGGGAGGTCTGGAAAGCAGACCTTGCAGGAGTGCAGGAGGAAATTGGCGGCCTAAATCGACGTATAGGAGAGGTCGAATCAGGGAAGAAGAGAGGGGAAAAACGTTAGAAGACACCAGCTCCCGTATAGACTCTCTCACCCAACAAGTGCAGCGCCTTTCCCACACAGTCACCTCCCTGGAGATGCGGCACCAACGGAGAAACATAAGGATCCGCGGGGCCCCTAAAACGATTGGGCAAGAGGCCCTGATCAATTTTGCCTACGATGTCCTACAGGTACTGGGGGTTATTATTATTATTATTTTATTATTTATATAGCGCCAACAAATTAAGCACAACAACGAAATACCGCCCATATTGTCGGCTTTCAGGGTCCAGAAGGCCCCGGCGGCACCACGGGACATCATAGCGGTGACTCGAGACATTGCTGTGAAGTCATGGCGAGAGCCAGACAGCAACCATGCCTACTGATTGCTAATAGCAAGATCTCCATATTTCAGGACTTACCCTTCTCCGTACTCCTCGACCGGCGCAGGTTCACGTCCATAATCCGGATCTTGTGAGACCGGGGGATCAGGTACCGATGGGGGACACTGTGCAAGTTCTGACAGCCTCTGACGACCACACAGACTTCCTGAAAGACCTCAATTCACTAACACCACCTCCACCTGGGCAGCAGACACCAGAGACACAGACGGCAGCGAACCCCAGCTCACGACAGAAGCGGGGACCACGATCGACTGGTGACACACGACACCTGGGGCGACAGGACCCCCGTGAGATCCTCAAGACGGAGGTCCCTCAGCAGAGATGGAATGGCTGGAGGACCAGACAGGCACCCATGGCAGGTCAGAAGGGTTCAATATATGGACTTACAAAACCTCTGCAAACCAACAATACCAAGAGCAAGGACTGTCTTACACCACTCATACGCTACTCACATACCTCCCAGACAGACACTTGTGAAGCACCCAAGACTACTAATATTGGGAGCTATATGGGGGGGTACCTGAGGGTCCCATATGCAACGGGCGTTCCTCCAACATACCCCTACTAAGTGCCCACAAACATGGAATGATAGGCATAACAAGTCACCATGACAGGTGCCACTAGAGGTCCCTGCTGAGCTACTGTATGCACAATGCATAAAATTTACGTGGCCAGCAATAGTTCCCCATTGGTATACAGGGTCACAGCATTGTATTAGCATAACCACATTTTATCTGCATGGCACGGTTGTTCTGGTCCCATGACCCACTTAGCTGCATCAGGGTACATTTTGGCCAACCACTACACGCCCAGTAGCCTAATATGCCACACATGCATACTTATCACGCTTCCCACTCAAAAAGCGATGACGAGCAAACAGGCGGTCATCTCTTAATGCCCCGCTACAATCACATGCAAATGTATTAGTGAATCGGAAGCCGGGTACACTTATGAAGAATGCCAATACTGTCACTGTATCACGATTAACTATGCTTTGTTATGCCCTATAATGTTTTATAATGTTTTACAATGTTTTATTTTGTTTACAGGATATTACTATCCTAACCTAATAACCTATAAGACCAGTCTACATAGTCACTAATATCTATACCTGACCACCTCTGCTCACCTAATATACAAAAATGTGCAATTTAACACTATGTTTGGATTTGCCTGCTACCGCTATTGTGGCACTGCGGGCCTGTTGTGACTCCTCTTATGCACGCAAAAATAAAGAATATATAAAAGTGCTATACAGTATAGAATACCAATGCAAAGCCCTACTTTCCCATAAAAAATATAAAAATAAAAAAAATCTAATTGTGTATATTTATGCTAGCAAGACAAAAATTCTGATAAAACAAAAAAAGGATATATACTTGTAGAATACCTTGACCCTTAAAATATTAAAACAGAATACCATTAAAAAAAAAGACTCACTTCCAAGCAAACTCTAATCCCGTCCTGGGTAAAGGACAGTACCCTCATCGGTTCCATGCAACAGCCCCGACAAAAAGCAGAGGGGTTTCCATATTGTTAAACCTGGCATTTGAGGCAATCAAAGTAAAACAAGACCCGCAGGGCAGGTATATCATCATGATCTGTACTATAAACAGCTCTACATACACCACAGTAAATACATACTTACCTGATGCAAACCAGTGGAGGTACCTACACAATCTATTGCAGCTGACTGCACAGATGCAAACAGGTACCACAATGATCTGTGTTGATTTCCATCAGTTCCAAGACCCACTCCACAAACAGTGCAGATCCTTGACCAAACTTCTACAAACCTTCGGACTCTATGACATTTGGCAAACAATCCATAACAATGATAAAGAATATACACACTACTCGCAGGTACATAACATTTATTCGAGGATCGACAGGTTCCTTATGCAAAGTGCACATCTAAACAGAGTCATAACATGCGAAATAGAGACATCTACCTGGTCAGACCACAACCCAGTAACGCTGACAGTTGCAGACCATTACAATTACAAAAACCGCAGTCCGTGGAGATTAAATGAGCAACTTTTACACGACCCCCATTTCGTTCAAACCCTACAAAAGGACATGCAGGCATACTTTGAAGCCAACAACACCGACGACATATCCACAATGACATTATGGATGGCCCATAAGCCGGTTATTAGGGGCCTCTTGGTTCGAAAAGCCTCCTAACTTAAAAAGAAAAACCACACATTGCACATCCAGAACCTAAAAAATTACAGGATCTACATAGAGCCAACCAGCTCAACCCCTCCAAAACAACACAACAATTAATTACAAATATTCAACAGCAAATCAATGCCACAAATTTCCAAAAAGCAAGTTATGCTTTTAAAAGATTGAAAGCTACAACATTTGTAATGGGAAACAGAGCTAGTAAGGTGCTGGCCCAAAGACTTAGCGACAAACAGGCCCAATCTAAAATCCTTTACCTACAATGCTCCGTCGGGCAAAAAATTATCCAACCTACACAAATCTGCAATGAATTTGCAACCTATTACAGTTCCCTATATAACCTAAAAGACAATAAACAAGTTCACCAGCCTTCCCAAGACACAATCAACGCATGCTTAAACAAACTTAACTTACCCAAGCTTCAAGACGCCCAAACCACACATCTCACAAGAGGTCATAAAACTTATTGAAACCATGCCCAAAGGGAAAGCCCCAGGGCCAGACGGTCTGACAAATATATACTATGCTACCATTAAGCCCACGCTGGGCCCACACATAACGCAAGCCTTCAATTTTGCTACTCAAATGGGAATATTACCTCCCGTATTACTAGCAGCCCACATTTTCATTGGTTTTCCCCACACCTGGAAAACCACCAACGCTATGTCCAAATTTTGTACCCATCTCACTGCTAAATGCAGATGCCAAATTATACGCCAAAATCTACGCAGAAAGCCTTAAAGAAATTCTGCCCAGCCTGGTCTCTAAAGACCAAAGTTGGATTTGTGGTGGGTAGACAGTGCACAGATAATTCACGGAAAGTACTTGATATTCTTCACTACCTCAATTAATCTAAACAACAAAGCACTCTGCTATCACTCAATGCTGAAAAAGCATTCAATAGTCTCAATTGGCGCTTTTTACAAGAAGTTTTGACCTGAAATGGCTTCCCACCCATTTTCTTAAACACAATAAAGGCACTCTACAGCATCCCTTCAGCAACTGTATTGAATTCAGGCTTTAGTTCCGCAACATTCCACATTGCGAACGGCACACACCAGGTCTGCCCCCTCTCCCCACTGCTTTATGTACTGGCATTAGATCCTCTAGCAATAGAAATCCGCAACAATCCGGACTTTAAGGGGAATATAATTGGTGAACGAGAGCACGAGCTAAACCTATTTGTGGATGATATCCTCCTTACACTATCCAACCCGACAATATCACTTTCCAACCTGCACAAAGCAATACAAGATTATAGTAAACAAACTTATTACCAGTTAAACATGACCAAAACACAAGCCATGTGAGTCAACATACCCAAAACAGACTAAGTCAGATATAGACTTGCATTAACTAAGACTGGAGAGACGATTTCCTTACATTCTTAGGAATAAAATTGACAATAAAAGGTTAGCGACCTCTTTGTCACAAATTACACCAGACTCCTCAAGGACGTGGAAAACATACTGCAATCATGGCAGAACAAATTTTGTCATGGCTTGGCCTAATAGCGGCCATCAAGATGACAATTTTGACAAAAATTCTATGCATGTTCCGCTCACTGCAAATACCTTTACCACAAACGTACTTACAAAAACTCCAGTCAGCCCTGATCAGATTCAGCTGGGGGGGAGACATCCCAGAGTTCCACGAACGTTGCTCACAGGGCCGTCAGAAAAGGGGGGACTTGGGTTCCCTAACCTAATGGCGTACTTTCAAGCGACGTATATAGCAAATATACTTACCAAGCATTCAGCCTCGTACACGTGTCAATGGGTTGCGGTAGAAGCTCACTGTAGCGAGCAACGAACTTCCCAGCAGCAATATGGATACCAAAACACTTGAGACACATATCACCAGGCGCTCTACCTACTACCAAATTAATGATAAACATGTGGGACAAACACAGGGATGCATTCTGCTCAGCCAAGCCCTGGTTTCTGGCGTCGCCACTACAATCAGTCTGTGCAATGAGACATTCCCGCATCATACGTGGAAGAAATATTCATTAACACATCTCCACCAACTATGCACACAACAGGGCCTATGCACATTGACAGAACTACAGGCATCACACAACATCCCTCCAACTCTCACATTCTCGTACTGGCAATTAAAAGCACTCTTAACCAAATCCACAGTGACGGATCCCCACCCTACATTCGACTCCTCCCTCACACCTTTTGAGAAAATGTGCCTTCACCGAACCCCAATACGGAAAACATTGTCGGTTTGCTACAAACTTAACAATGCATACAAGGTAGAACCTATATGGTGCTTCCTGTCCAAGTGGCACGTAGACCTAGGCAAATCCCTGACACAGGACAAATGGAACAACATATGCGCCACACACAAAGGCCTCACCACATGTCACCATCTCACTTAGAAGCCTCACGGAAGCGATAGATGCTTGACATAGGAAGGGACAATGTTCCACATATGGTGGACATGTGACATGGTACAGATGTATTGGAAACAAATTACAGACCTGATTAGGGGAGCGACAGGGTACATACTAGAACACAGGGTTGAAAATTTACTGCTCCAACTGATGCCAGCGGGCATACCCAAATGTATAGCCGATTTTCTCACACTCACGAGCGTATTTCCTCACGCTCACTTCAGCTTCCACATTGCTGATCCCCTCGATTACGGAAGTTGTTGCGATGACCTCCACCACTCTTTATTATAAGGTGATACTATGGAATCAAACAAAAATGGGGAATCACAGTACTACAGCGAAAGAGCGGTGGACAGCATATTTAAGAGGTCAAGGAGTTACGTAATTCCCCTAGCAACCCCATGCTAACTATGTAACTCACCCCAATATTTAATCATAACACTCAAACATCAGGTTAGTAATGGCAAAGCAATAGGAGGATATTATTGTTAAACCCAGTTATATCCCTAACCCTTCTCTTTAACCAACAGTAAACCACTAAAGAAACCACTAAAGAAAGGAAGCATCCTCCTGCTTCCATCTTTACTCCACTCAGTTTATAAGGCGGACTACTCATAGAAGATCACTGAAGCCTACCAGATCTCTGAAACCATAGGGCTAGTTTTTGGGTCAATAAACCGCTAGCATCTAAGCTACACGCAGGTTGGAGTTGATGAAGAGCAGTTCTACACAGACAAGACAAACAACCTACAGTTTAACCTGTTGGGTCTCCCCCACTATTTTGGCAACCACCAGGGAACGCAGGCACAGACCAGCCAAAGACAAGGCTTGAACCACAAAGGGAGACAACCCAATGATAAAAAAAGGCCCTGCTGGAAACACCTAGCCCCATGGAAAGACAGAGGGCAGCAGGTCCAGATGGAGATAGACACCCCCCATGTGTTGAGAAATCAACCATCTACCCCTACCCCCACCCTTTAGCTTTCTGTACCCAACACCTATCCCTACTGTACTAAAATTGATCTAATGTGCGAATTATGTACATGCAAGATTGTCAAGAAGCTTATGATATTGTACCAACAGCCAACCCCCCTTCCTTTTTTCCTTCTCTATCCCAAACACAATAAAAGTTGTCAAATTGAAAAAAAAAAGAGCCTAACTTTGCAAGGTGGCAAATGGAGCTCACTTAAAAGATGTCATCTTTCTTGACCAGTCGAAGAAATCTCCATACGTTAAGCATTATTTATATGTAATATCATTGAAATTGGTTTGTTAATAAAAAAGTTATTGACTCTTCAAACCCTACTCCGAATTTTGGCCTACTCTGTATATAGGGAAACCATTAAAACAACAGGTTGCACCAATACATGTTCTATAGTTATTGGTAGAAATAACATGACAGTCATTAAAATACAAGAACTACTAGACATTAGATATTCAATGGAATGATATACAATGTACACTTACAGGAGATGGAGTAAGTGCCCACAGATAAGTTTTAGGAGAGAGGAACGAGCATGGATCGGAACACTAGCAAGGGTTCAAGAGAGTGAAGAGACACAGAGTTAAAAGCAAAGGTGAGGTTGGGAAATTTGCAGTTGTCACTGGAGTAAGTTATCACGTGGAAGTAATTATTTTGGATGCAAAAAAAAAAAACATTGGAGGCCAAAAAAAATCATGGTATTAATTTACCATTAAAGTTTAATTTTCTTATACTAATTAGCAGAGGCGTGCTGAGAGAAGAATCTTAAATTGGATATAGTTATGTGGGAAGCTGTTGAGGAAGACCTAGATAGCAAATGTTAAAATTGTAAAAAAAAAAATTGAACATGGACTATCTGACTATCCCATGTGGTATAGTCTGCTTTAAGAAGATGAGAGTTGTCCCACAGATGTTGATTAGAAATAGTAAGTTATCAAAGATTGCATTGTGCAGGTGGATTGTAATTGTGATATGTAACACCTTTTGTAGTCCCAGCCCAGAAGTGAAAAGTAGCACACATATCATGGTATAAAAGTATGTGTATAAATGATTAACCTACTTAGTTTTGATTGATTGATTGATAGGATAGGTTACTGTGTATCATTCAGAGGTAAACGGTTTAGACACAATTACCCTTATCAATAATCAAAGCATGATATCACTAACAGGAAATAGATCCATATCAGAGGGGCTACTCTTATCCACAAATGGTACATCTATCTTTAGACATCATTAAAGACAAAAGGGGTAAAGTTTACTTAACACGGTATTACTATCTCTATATCGGGCAATAGATAATAGGAGATACTTTTTTTCTCATATATTCTTTTTTTTTCCCGTTAGCACTGACTGGACTCTCTTTAATGGAATCCATCAATTTATTTTCTAAGCTTAACTACTTAGAAATGATCAACTACCACAGGACTTATGTGTATGACTGAGATTCTCAATTCATGTAGCTCTATGTAGTTCTACTCTGAAGAACAGGATTCGTCCTTCCGTGATGGATAATCATAACTAGGCATCTCGCACACTTGCGTGATCTGAAGGGTCCAGTCCAGTAAATAGCTGTGTTTAAGTGTAGCTCTTATATATATATATATATTTGCA